CTCGTTCATGTGCAGTTTTCTTTATATTGATTCATTCCTAAACAACAACAGCTAACCCTGTTTGGGATTATTTTTTATAAAAGGTCAACTTTGTGAAATCTTCTCCTAAGAAGACGATCCTTCGGCTGGTTTAATAATCCCCTGTAAACAGAGTGATGCAGCTGAAGCTGCCAGCCTGCTTGCTCTTCCTGCCACATGTTTTCAGCGTGTTGTAAACTCACAGTAGCTTCAGTCAAGAGGCCGCCGCTCAGACAAATGAGCAAAGAGAAGAAAAGGCCTGAAGCCATCTGTGCAGAAATAACAAGAAATGTAAGTTTGCAGAGACTTTATCACTTTGTTATAAATACTTTGAAGTTAAACTCGGTAACTGCAGGTGTGTTGAAAACTGACAAATGCAGCTAATTAATATAATTAATGCTAAATAAAAGTTTGTGATGAACAAATCAAATCCAGCTCACCTCGTTGAAGATCAGCCGAAGACGTTCAAGCAGCAGCAGCTGGAGGCTGATGTTTCCTACTGGGAAACCGTCCTTATATACTGTTAGCCTGTCAGTGTGTGTGTGTGTCACCTACATGTGCTAAAGACTTTGAGTAGCAGCACATGGTAACTGGATGTCTTGGTGGTCCAGAACCACAGAAGAAGACATCCAGTTTGCGTTCGGACCTGCAGTCATCATGACTCAGCAGAAACGCTGAAGCCTCCAGGAGCTGAGGAGCTTCCAGCTGTGTGTAGTTATCAGCGTCAGCGTCAACACGGCTGCTGTCAGCTTGTAGCTCCCACAGCTCAGAAACTGACTCACATGATAAGAAACGTCTCAATAAGCACCGCAGGCTTCAGAACTAAAGTGTCCTCAGCGCTGACATAAACCCAGCGTTCAAGTTTGTCTAAGATGTTCCCAGCACCCACAGTACAACTCGTCACGGTGGAGTGGTGGTTGGACCCAGATGCAGGCTGTCACAGTCGGGTGGTCAGACCCAGTAAGGAACCAGACTGAGTGTAACAGAACCATCTCAGATGTGATTTGATTCATTTACAGTGAATCCTGGATGTGTTTATTTACAAGGGGAACCTGGAACACCTGAGGAGGGAGGAAACAGGACGAGTCCAGGAATGTAGAGAGATGGTGAAGATTACTAGGTGGGCGATCTCTCACTGAACAAGGGCGGCCACGCCGTGTAGAGCCGAGGCTTTCAGGGTCCAGGCTGAGGCAAACAGTAGGGCTGGTGGTGGAACGGCTCAGAAGCTGAAGGGAAGCACACGGTTCGTTACAGGCGCAAGCAGCTTCACAAGAGACACAGGGCACGAGACTCCAGGAGA